GATTCTATGATTCTATGATTCTATGTAACCATTTTTGATATAATGAAATAAAACACAGTTATTTGGTTATAAATAATATAAGCTACCCTTGCAGTTCATAGGCATTCTGCAGTGTAGTACATAACATCTAATTCCAAGACTTGCCCATCAATTTACTCCTGAGTACGTTAGATTTTAAGTGGACAGGGACTTTTCTGAACTACCTTCTGTGTGTGTTGCGATTGCTGTTGACATGTCCTCTTCCAGTGCATCCTGGGGTGGGGCACTTTAAAACATTTTCATGCATGGCAAGAACTAAACAGGAATAAGAAGAAAAAAAAAAAAAAGGTGATAATAACATCCATCAATTAAAAATACATATATTAAAAAAAAAAGAACATTTTTCTTTGGACTCAGATTCTCAGTTCTGTCACATTTTGACCACAAAAGAAAAGGAGAAGCAAAGGACCTACAACACAGCAAGGCTGGTGCCTCCAGCATATGCCAGTTTATCCATACATCGCTGTAGTGCGGCTTCCCACACGCACATCATTGTTTCTATGGACTTCAAAAGAACAAAGGCAGAAGGATGTTCCATCATGAAGCCCTTTGCCCTCTGGTTCATACACCACTAACGCAGTACATGTACATTTCTTATGCCCTTTGATGTGGATCGTTTTTATTAAGACTGCGATGTACGTCTGTGTAAAACAGAATATGTCTTTGTATGTCTGCCCTCATGACTTCAGTACTGCATTACCCCTTTGGGTGCACAGTACTTCAAAAAAGCTGACTGTTCAGTCAACTGGTTTGTTTTGTCAGGAACCAAATTATAATTTTTTTGTTTGTTTTTTGCCAGCAGGACAGAATACATCTGATTGGAAGTGTGATAATTAACAAGGACTTGTTAATTTTAACTTTTTGGAAAGTCAATGTTGCTAAGGCCTTCCGAATGCAGCAGCCTGCTTAAGTCAGCAGATGTTTCCATAAATACAGTTTAGTACCAGATTTAAAAAAAGGGAGAGCTACAGATAAGAACAGGACATTGGTAAAGTGCAAGTATCCTTTTCATTTCTTGTTATGCACGCCACCACAAAAAACAATCTGACTAACTAGGTTGTTTAATAGTTTCACATTAGGTTATGGCTTATTATGCAGCATTTCATTGCATCACATTGCAGGATTACACACACACACAAACCAAGGTAATCAGACCAGCACAGTTGGAAATAAGCAGGGAAATTCAGGCTAGACTGGGCATAAAAGAGTTAGCACAATACAGTCATACGAGAGAGATGTGCTGTGGACCAATGCTGGGATGTACTGATGGAAGTACTCTTTTTGAGCTCAGTGGTATGGGGGACACTGGAAACATCTCTGAATAAGCATGCCCAGGCCTCTCAGTTATTGGCAATGAAAACCAGCAGCCTCAGCATGTGATTACCGCAAATCAGGTCGCAGCTCTGAAAGAAGCAGGTGATTTCTGTGCTGCATGCCTTAGCAAAAGGATGGGCAAGCAAGATCTTGAAGATTCATAAGACTACAACATGCAGGTCTGCTGGCAGGGTGGGGATAGTTCGGCTCTGATCTTACTCTTCCCAGTCCACTGCTGGGAGCCTACTGCTGTTTGGAATGCTACTACTAAGGAATACTTGAGCTTCACAAGTGTGGGAAGTAGAACTGTGACTAAGAGCTGGAGGGCAAGAAAGGTGTGATGGCTCCTCTCTCAGTTTCATTCTGCAATCTCACCCAGAAAAAGTAGGTTTCTTTTCCAGCATGAGCACACACTACCCACAATACCGGGCCAGATCCAGTTGTTATTCTGGACTGCAGGGTGATGATACTCACTTTCTAGTGGCACTCTAACTTTATGTGGACAGCCTGAGAGACTGCGGTGGTGAGGGTACAGCCCAGTCACGTGCCCTGTGCCATCACATCCTGGGATGGGACATTTGGTTTCTCTCTTTTCAGGCCTGGGTGAATCTGCAGAGAAATCAGATAGGATTTTTTTTGGCTTTAGCCCCTGTCTGCACTCAGCTGAGTGATCCTAGCAGCGTGATACTCTCTATTTTGTACTTCAGATGCAATTCCTACACAAAGTTTTATCAGAGACGTATGTGATTTAAGCATCACTTTATGTTTTCACACTGTGTCCTTTAAACAATGGCTCCCTCCTCCCAATATGCCATTTATGTGCTAAACTGTATAGCTTTAGGATTGCAGTGTCATTATTCCATTCAGAGCCTTAAACAGGACAGAAGCCACAATCCAATAAGCCAGAAAACTGGCAGCATCAGCCAACAGCAAGATCTATAAAGGAATAAATAAAAAAGCAGAAACAATCTTTTACTCTTGTTAATGTCAGACTCCAGGAAGCTGGGACGACCAAATAAAAGCTGAGGTGTGAAAGAAACAAACAAACAAACAAAAAGCATTTCAACCAGAAGCCATTCCTTAAATATCGCAGATCTCTAGGCTGTAGGTTCTTTGTTAGGAAACTGAATACATGCCACTTTACATTTGAGAGGCAAGGCAAGCAGCTCCCTCTGGTACACATGGCAATGCCGCTTTGTGGAGCAGCCCACAACGACAGTGAAAACATGGAGCAGCCGATACCCTTTCAAAGGCGAGGTCTCAGCCCAGCCCCACAGCTACCACTCTGTAATGGCCGCAGCGCATTCCCAATTTTTGTTTCAAGCACCTAGAATTGTGCAAGAAGCACTGGTCAGAAAGCCTTTATTTGATTTCCAATGCAGGATCAAAAGTCTGGGCGAGAAAGGAATGAATTCTGGTCCAGAAATCCTCTTGTGAGAAATCTGGAGGAAGTGGCCACATAAATTGCTGAGGATGGTTTTAGCTCCATCTGTGATTGGCTGCCAACAGCATTCGGCGCTGGGGGAGAAAACAGCTGCAGCCAGCACAGGGAGCAGCCTCCTTCAAGCTCCTTTTGTTGGGCCGCGGGGTAGGACGTGCTTAGGGACAGGATCGCCAGAGACAGCTGAGGGTTAACATCCCTGCGAAAGCTTCAGTGAAAAAAAAAAAAAAAAAAAAAAAAAGAAATACGGAGGAAAGAAAATAGACCGAGCATCAACAGGAGGCCACATGCTTTTTAGAATCACTGCAGATGGAAAGTGCTGCAATAGTGGACAGAAAATAAAGAGGGACCCTGAAATATGATTTAGTTTTTCCCCCACTAATTGGAAAGGTTTATCATTAAAAAGATGGAAAAATATAAATTTAAGCTGTGTTTTTCTGATGTAGAATCCAAGAAAGAAAATTAAAAGCTGATGGATTTGATGGTGGATTTTTTAGAAATAAAAACCAGTTAATTATGTAAAGTGAAAAAATTATGTGCCTGATACTACCTTGACTAAAATCATATGGTGTTTATACAACTTGAACAAAGCCTAGTTTGTTCCTACATGAGTATTACCTCTGAACTCACCTGCAAACTACAGCTAATAGTAATATGAGGCAAATCAGGAAGGGCCAGATTCTGCCATGCTTACCATCACTGCTCCTTCTTATGTGTGCTGTGAGAAAGTCACATTGACACCAATGTGAACCTGGTGAACACAGCTGGTCTCGGGATAAGAAAAGGTATCTGTAAAATTCCTGCACATACCATAGTCATTTGAGCAAATAAAGGTTCATGTAGTTTAGCAAGGAAGTAGACTAATACCGTGCATGCAGAGCTTAAGACATTCTAATGAAAAGACTGCTTGAGACAGAAAAATGAGATGCATGCATATTCTTCCCAAATACTACAGGAAATATTTTGTAGTTGCAACTCCTAAAAAAACTTGACGGTTTTCTTACACACTAAATGCTTGAGACAACTAAACTACTATAATATTTGCAATGTCCACAGGGACTACTCTAAAGTAACACTAGAAATACCAAAGTAAATCATTTATCAAAAGCAGAAATTGCAGCAATGCTGGGGTGACCTCAGTATATTTGGAAGCCCAAAAGGAAAAGTCAAAGGACAGATGAATGTGTTGTTAATTACTACAGCAGGGAGTGTGCTTATAAAATGATATCTCTTGATGTTCTCTAATTATCCTCAATTGAGGAGTTTCATACGAGACAACCCAGTTTACAAATCAAACCCAAATCTTTCAAATCTCCACCTCTGGAAGCCTGATTAAGTACTGAAAATGGAGCAATGTACCTACAGCTTTGTAGGATGCCACAAACCATCAGAAACAATATAGATTTTGGAACTTACTGGTAATTCTGCTGATGGTGAATGAGACAGAAGAGCACGGCTTGTGCTTTCCTGGCTCAGAAGTGCTGGCTGTAGCAAAATGTAATGTTGATACATGAAGTAGACTGAACTCAGAAAACACATGGCTTAGGAATTAGGTGGTATGTTTGGAAGAGGCCAATTTTTCACCCTAACCTTTCCTTAAGCACCGTTTTAATGCCTTCTCTTTTGGCTGCTGAAATTTAGGAGGTATGTATTAGCGCCCTATGGAGGAGGAGGTAGAGGAGGAGGAAAAGGAGGAGAAGGAGTGTCCGTGCCAGCTACACAGCCCTTTTAGTACCCATTACTGATCACTTCACATAGCGGTTTGGCAGGAAGCCAAGTACCTAGCGTTTAACCTGGTTAGATGTAAGGCACTAGTGTGAAGGTACATAATTGACAAAATTACCAGCTAAATTCCAGATTCTTTACTGTTGCTATAAAACCCAGCTCAGAATCCTCTATCAGTCACAGGATAAATGCCTAAGCCAGTAAGAACAGCCAAAAATTCTTCCTTACGTTTGTTGCTAAATATCTGTCTCCCAGCAATGTCAATAACTTTGGTTTGTCTCCTCTCCCCTGCTAGATGCTCCAGAAGAAACCTATCCAGTTCCTTGTAGGTGCTGTGAAACACATGCCCCTGCTCTGCCTGCAGAGCGATTGCTTGTTCTAGCAAACTCAAGTTCCCTTTTGATTTGTCCAGCTCAACTGACACTTCTGTGGTTTCTGACAGGCACTCATTGTCGTCTTCTTCACTTTCAGGGAAGGGATTCTGAATTCTCTTCTCGAAAGGATCTGGGTGGGACTCCTGGGGTGCTCTTAGCTCTGTTTCTGAGTCACAAAGTGTTTCGCAAGGGCCAAATTCTACCTCTTCCTTCTTAATTTCTGGGACTTCCAGTATGCTGGGTTGATTACACTCTACAATATACTTCTGAGTTACATGGGGCTTTACACTAGTTTCTTCTGAGAAATTTGAGGAGCTGTCCCACTCGTTGTCCATAATTTCAGAGTTACTTTCATTTTCCTCAGAAGAACAGTATTTGGGGCCAGAAATAACAGTCTTTTCCTTTCTTTCAGCTGAGTTAATCATGTAACATTCATCAGTGTCATCACTTTCTGTTTTTAAGGATTGAATGCCGCTATCATTTAGATTTTCTGCCACTGTTTGACTGGGTGCATCTTTTGCTAATTTTCCCATGTTCATCAAAGATTTGGCCATGGCATCTTGGTAGCTGGAGTAATCTTTTCTTTGACTGGAATTTTCTTGCCCACCTGAATGAGGGGTTTCCTCAGCTGATTTTGGAGTACTTTCCTCTGCATGAGAAAAAGAGCAAGAGAAAAATATTTAAGAATAACTGCTTTTTGTATCTTGTAGAAGTGATATGAAGATATTTACTTACCAATCACCATTTCTTTACTGAAAGCTACTCTGAAATGATTGAATTTGCACCACGGCTGTGTTTGAAATGACTGCTTGTAGCATCAGGAAAAGCTCTTCTAAGACAATATCTACTTTATATTATAGCTCCAAAGTCATATGAGAAATAAATATGTTGCCATTTTTCACTGATGGTGAAGACATATATTATCTTAGAACACACGCACATTCATATACATTCATATAAATATAATGTGCCATATGTAGATAGATACTACATATATACACACAATCTACATAATATACGCATAAATATATATACAAGCACACACACACACATTTTAAAATTCCTCTGATCTATTTTCACTTTTCTGCCATCTAAGATTCCCAAATATTTTCTCAAAATAGACGCTGATTACTTTGCGTGGACTTTGGTGGAAAAAACCTCAATACTTCACAAAGGGCAAGCTCCTGGTCACTATTGCAATTGCCACATTAAGTGATAGATCAGGTCATTCACAGGCAAACAGAAATGGTTGTTATGTACAGACTCATAAAGGACTTGTTAAAGACACCACTGAAGTGCATCCTGTCTTTATAAACATCTTTCTTCAGAAGAAAAGCAGCAGCCGGCAGGTAATAGAGGCTGCATGTAGGAGAGGTTGTCGGTGTGGAAGACAATACGCCTTTTGTATCTCATTTAATTTTTTATAAACATTTCCTCTGACAAGGACACTCAAAATACATCTCCATCATCTTCCTTTCTGGTAATTATCTCTCTAAAATCAACACTGGTTTGCCAGGATCAAGTAAATATTGCCATAGTAACTAAAAGCATTTTTGGATGAAGGGAAGAATTTAGTCACAACACTAGCCCCTTCAATAATGCTGATTATAGGGTACATTCTTTTGTTGGGATCTATTCAACATAAACTGAAAAATTTAACATTTTACTTCCTAGAAAGGAGGATGAATAAACAAGCACAGACTATTTCATAAGATGTGTCTGTCCTCTTCTGAATCAGAAGAACTCCAGGTTTAAATAATAAATTAAGCATAGTCTAAAATGCAAATGAAGTTTCTCTCAATAACACAGTGAGCTATTAAGAGAAAGTGTAAAGGGTTATGATAATTTTAAAGTATTATGAACTACAGAAAACAAATAAAAAGCATTTTCAGTGAATATATCCAATTCATTGAACTATTCTCTCAATCCACTTAACTACCCACATGTGTACAATAATGATTTATAGACATTATACCTAATTATGCATATTTGGGCTGTGTTAGAGTGCCTAACAAAAGCTCTAGAAAGCAACAATTACCTCTGTTGCTTAGCTACATAGTTTAAAATATTCCTATTAAGTGCAGATTATTGTGGAGGGGAAAAGGGGGACAAAAATGCACATGTGCACCACAATGCATTTCACTTTACTGCTGCCAAACTGTTAGCATTTTGGGTCATTTCCAGTTTACATAATTGTTTGGTTCAACTGTTTGTTATATGTTAAAAGAAAATATTGATTAATTCTTATTCTTCTTCAGAAAATTGGACTCATGCAGGGAGAGGTGGCCTTGTGCACTGTGTGCATAAAGTTCTGTTTAAAAAAAATGTCTGTAAACCTTAGTGTAACTTTTTAACAGCTGGTCTAGTACCACACACATTGCAGTATTCTGAATAAAGAAGTCTGCTGTCTTTTCACATCTCAGCAAGCAAGAATGATGATGTGGCTTTATAACCAACTTTAGTCAAATGTGTTTTTATTATTTGCTCTTCTGTCATTTGGAAAATAACAGAATCCCATCAGTGGGTCATTTCAAAAAGTAAGAAGTTCTAGTTTTAAAAGAAATGTCCCTTCAAAACAAAACAAAACAAAACAAAACAAACAAAACTTGATTATAGTAACAGTTATTTTTCTGGGTGAAAGATGAAAAATAATATAAATGTATGATAACAAATTTTTGCTCCTTAAATAATCAGCAATTTTTAAATGCAGTGTTTAAAAATTTGTTGTTGAAGCAGTCTTAATGGTTCAGCTGTCCCAGCTTTGCTTTTCACTTCTACAGGCTGTAGATTTACTTTAAAAATAATCAAAACTCAGCTTAGTTTACAGTTACATCAATCCATGAACTGAAGCATTAACTGATCAACAGACAAGAATCATGAGTTCATAATAAAATGAGCAATATTACACTAAGAAATTACAAATAAACCTACATACCCAGACCAGCTGTATGCTTTAGCTGAAATTTGAGCTGTATGCTTTAGCTGAAATTTGTTTTGTAGCTGGCAAAATTAATGCAAAAGGGATAGGTTGTATTATCACTGACACAAGCAGTTTGGGAGAAATCTCATTGATATCAAATAAATCTTTTTGAAATCAAGTGGTTTTTTTCTTTTGACTGAAGGGCTGGATGCAAATAGGGTTCCCCTGCATTTATATCAGTGGACCTGGCCCAACACTTGCCCTTTTTTAAAAAAAAGAACCAGTTAAATCACTTAGGTTCATCTATATGTGGCACAAGTTCTACCTTTACACCCATCATAGTACTTTCCCTTCAGTGAGTTCTTCAAGCTGTGCAGAGAACAGACAAAAGGGAAAGAAAAACACATTACTGAGGGCAGCTCTGGATGGCCAGGAACCATGCTGAAGAAGCAGTGCAAGAAAAATTAGCTAAAATATCTCAAAAAAACCCCAAACAAACAAACAAAAAAAAACATACAGGAACTCTTACTCAAACAGCTTCCCTTCTGGTGTTAGGAGATAGAAATACTCCTTGCAGGCTGAACAGGCACTGAGAAACATGGAGCTTTTTTCTTGATGAATTTAGCTTAGTAATGTCACCCAAAAGACAGAGACATTGGGTATCACCTTGTTAATTAAAGTTCTGTTTGAAAAGGGAGCTCCCTTCTAGGCTTTCACACTGGTGGGATGCAGAGCTCTGGAAGAAACTCCTCCTAGAAGACTTAGAAGTCACAACTGGCTGAAATCTTTGCTGTATAGAAATGACACAAAGATCTCCACTGATTTCAGTAGTACCAGGATATGACTCTAATCTGAAAGACACCCTTCTTCTTCTATGTGTTTTATGGTATTCATATGTATAAAATTTGGAGATTTTGTTTTGTTTTTAAGGAAATTCTATTTAGAGTGGATAAAGATGTAAATTCCTAATCTTAGTTCATCATAGAATCACAGAACAGCCCAGGCTGGAAGGGACCTCCAAAGATCATCTGGTCCAACCTTTTGTGGGAAAGGGAGCATAGATGGGATTATCTAGCACCCTGTTCTTCCAAAATATTTGATAAGAAGAAACTGAGTGGAAAACAAATTACCTTTAAACTCCCATAGCATCCAGCAACTGAGTAGAATATAAGTTCATTCTGTTTTCATATTATCTATGATTACTAATTTCCCAGTGCCAGATCACACTGCTTTTATCTTGACATTTGCTAAATACTGATGACTCCTCCCTTTAAAACAAATGCAGAAGGTATTCCACTTATATCTTCTCACTTGCCTGATTAATGATTTGTGCAGGACTTCCTAAACAAATATGTGACAGCCAATTCAGTTTGATATTTTTTGTTCTTTTTGAATATATATAAACATACATTAGAAAAAAAGAGCAATAAAGACATACTGTAGCTATATGTTTCTGTATCCCCATCCTCTTCCATATTTTCCAGCATACACGTTGTAGAAGTTTCTATAAATCGTTGGACATGTTTGGCTTAGCAGAGTTGGAATAACAAGTATAAAAGTGCTGAGTCTAATAATCGTGTTAAACAGAACACAAGTAGCAGTCACATGCATGAAATTGCTTTGCTAAATGTTAAAGTCAACAATGTTTTGCTAAGCATTTTTTTTTCTTCCTAAGAGCTCTATATATTCCGGTGAAAATCTGCTCTTCATAAATGTGTTTTTCTCAGTGGTGGGCTTAACCTTGTTCTTTGACAGAGCTAGTGGAGAAGCAGATGCCGCTCCATATCTGACCTGTTGCAGTAGTTGTCTCTCTGTGTGACCTACAAAGCATTTACTAGACCCCAGGAGGAGTTATTGTACAAAATAATTGGAAGTACGATGGTTAAACCTAGACAGAAATGAACCATTCCAACTCTGTTAGAAGTCAAACACATTCTGCATCCTTTTTGAAAATACTCTTTCATATCTCCCTTCCTGTGGAACTCAGGTTCAAGCGGAGCCACACTGCACGACTACCTGGAGTTGAGCTGCGTTCAAGGACACTGATCTCTTCCTGTAAATCCGTCCTGTCTTCATTTTCTTCCTTGCATTCCAAGCTGGGGCTGTAGTGGCGGGGTTTCATTAACAGGGACTTCCTTTTGTTGACGGGAACGCCTGATATCTGTTCTTCAGCTTTTCTCTTCTTAGCCATGGAACATTTGTAGGCACTGCAATGATCAATCGGCAATGATAGAGAAAAAAGTGGGAGAAGTGAGGGGTAAATTGTTTAAAAAATAGCACCATACTCTAATTGTAAGTATAAAAGTGAGGACTGACAAAATATTAATTCACTTGCAGTTTCAGCAAGTTGTGTTTAGCAGATATTTAATTTTAGCTCATGTACTTGAAGTTCATGGCACAGGCAAGTCCCATTTCTTTTCACTGCTGCCAAAATCTGTTTAGGGGAAGCAGAATGAGGAGGAAGACAAAACCAAAAAAGCCATAACCCAACATCCTTAATCCTAAGTAAGCATATGCTAATCTAAGCCCTGCTCTGCAGTAAAATAAATACACCCAGGAAAGGATGAACAAAATTGTAATCTGGGTTGATAATCCAGAGAAACAGCCAAGGGGAGAAAATATACCACCAGTTATACTACAACATCCGGAGCCTTTGGCTCCATTATCTTTACATCAGTATGGATATCCAATCACGCAGCTTGAGTTCAACAGCATAAAACCTGTGTGAAACACACTGTACCTCCAGAAAATTTTGCAATATGGGTCCCTCTTTCAATATCAGTCCCAAGGGTTGGTTTCATTTCATTCACTCAGCCATAAATGCCTAGTTTAAGCTCTTCTCAGGTCTCTATATAGACTCTGGAAAAAGACTTCTCCAGAGGGCAATTCATAGAATTGGATTGGAAGGGACCTTTAAAGGTCATCTAGTCCAATCCCCCTGCCATGAGCAGGGACATCTTCAATTAGATCAGGTTGCTCAGAGCCCTGTCCAACATGACCTTGAATGTTGCCAGGGATGGGGCATCTACCACCTCTCTGGGCAACCTGTTCCAGTGTTTCACCACCCTCATTGTGAAAAATTTCTTCCTTGTATCTAGTTTAAATCTATCCTCTTTTAGTTTAAAACCATTACTGCTTGTCCTATGGCAACAGGCCCTGTTAAAAAGTTTGTCCCCATCTTTCTTATAAGCCCACTTTAAGTACTGAAAGGCTGCAATAAGGTCGCCCCGGAGGCTTCTCTTCTCCAGGCTGAACAACCCCAACTCTCTCAGCCTTTCTTCATAGGAGAGGTGTTCCATCCCCCTGATCATTTTTGTGGCCCTTCTCTGAACCTGCTCCAACAGGTCCATGTCTCTTCTGTGCTGAGCGTTTCAGAGCTGGACGCAGTACTCCAGGTGGGGTCTCACCAGAGCAGAGCAGAGGGGCAGAATCACCTCCCTCGACCTGCTGGCCATGCTTCTTTTGATGCAGCCCAGGATACAGTTGGCCTTCTGGGCTACGAATTCATCCCGCTTAAAACTAGATCTATCTGATAAACAGGGTGAGCCATCCCCCGGGAAAAACCTTGCCCAGTCTAGATGCATAACTTTCAGATGACCGACATCAGAAGAGAGGGCAATATTTTAAAGAGGAAGTGGTTTAGCAGATTTTATATACTTCTTTCAGCTCCTATAAGATCCACATATTGATCTGCATATTACTTTGCTTCTACAGATATTTAGCAAAGCCTTTGCTGCCATGCAGCTGATCTGTATGTCACATAGACGTTACATCATATGACACCTCGCAAAGGAGGCCTGAACCCTCAACCCTCTTTTTTTAATAACTTTTTGTGTAAGTGGTTTGGCATGATTTCATTGTTCTCTCACACACAATATTCTAAGAAATTTATGTAGTACGAATAATAGTGCTCATATTATATCTGTCAGAGATGAAAAAACTACATATATGAATCTGTGTAATCCACTCAATGGTTTCTCGACCTTAGGCACCCCCAGGGTGCATTACAAATCTACACGATGCCCTTAGGTGTTGGATTTTGCATTTGGCTCACTGGCTTAGCTGCAAGATTTGCAAAAAATCTATGTATGCAGAGAACTCCTATTGGTTACACATATTACAAGCTCAACAGCATAAATTAATCCTTCCAAGGTATCTTATGTGCACTAAATTGGCTCAGGTTCTGATTGTTTTGGATGAAAGCATATGACTAACTTGAGCTTTTTGTTAACAAAAAATACCCATTTTTGGCTAAGCACCTTTTTGGCAATCCATCATTGCAAACATGAAGGACACAGAAGTAGGAAGATCTGCATTTTAGGGGGAATGTTAAAATTCTACCATATGCATCTTAAACACAATGGATATTCTTGATCTTCTGAAAGCTAAAATGCTATGGGCATCAGGAATACTGGACGCCAAGCACCTGCTGTAGTGGAATTTATTATGGCTTCTGTGTTATTTCTCTGTTTATGACTAGAAGATAACATGAATATCATATTAAAGGTCAGAATCACAATGGTATAAGCGTCCCCTTGGAAATGAAACCCATATAACAGACATCAGGGATGGATGTGGTGCGGACAAATATGCATAATTTATTTCTAAGAAAATATAATCAAGAGTTTCTTAATTCATATTTGTGAAGGGCAGTTCGTACCATTCATGTTGTTTCAGGAAAATTGAATAGATGACAAATGTTTGAAAACCCTTCACACACAATTGGTTTTATCAACCAAAAGCTTCACTAGGTTTGCTTTTGATCTTTCTCATTTATTTGTTAAGCTTCAAGTTTGCCTCCAGTAGCTACTGTGAGGGTGTTTAGGATAAGATGAATTTCCAGTGTTTAATTCCCCTTTGATGAAGCTACGGATGTTTCTTACACAAGCATAATTAATAGATTTTTAGAACAGAAGATCCAATCAGATAATCTAGTATGCCCTCCTGTGCAACACAGGTCACAGAACTTCATCTAGCTCTTCAGCTTTAATCCTGTAATTTGTCTGATTATTGTGTATCTTCCAGTCAAGTTAAGGGAAAACATGGTAAGACGGTAAGTTGATTGCTGTATTCTTGCTCACTAAGTACAATCTTTTTCTAGTAACACGGTGTTATAAGCCCACCGCTGTGGCCTGGCACAACAGCTATTAAACACGCTGTTTTTTCAACACAACTGTGAAAGACAGCCCAACTCAGATGCTAGCAGACAACAGTCAGGACCATGCGGTGGTACTGCTGCCACCTGCCACCTGCAGATCTGCTCTGGGAAATGAGAGCATAAGAATCCCACTGGACTGTAACTACCACAGTTTCCAGCAGTAAATCAAAAGCTGCTGCATCAGTCTCAGGACAGGAGGCCTACAAATCTGCCTGGAAGCACATTGCTCATGTTAGAAAGTTTCTCCTCTATGAAAGACTGGTGCATTAGCTTGTCCTTATTGTATCTTTTTCTGTACACAGGCGGCCTCTCACCCAGATTTCCTCTATAGTTCCCATCATTTTAAAATAAGTGAATACATGAGATTCAACTTTAAGTAAAATCTTTCCTGACACCTTCCACTCTGATTACAGGAAGATGACAAAATGCAGTTATTGCTTCTTTCCTAGGAAGTGCAAATTGCTCTCCATAAGCTGGGATGAGATTTTGCAACTCCAGCAGAATATACTCTTGCTTTTGCTGGTGTCTTTTTAAACTGCCGGTTTTGAGTTTTAACTGGAATCTATTAGTTTGCAAGAGCCAGGTTAAAGATCTACCATTTAACAGCAATTCCCCTTCTTTTCTACCTTACAGTGCTTAAAAGTAAACATGAAAATAAAACCAGAAAACAACTTCACAAGTGGTAGCTTTTTAAAGTACTTACACATGATTTGTTAATTATTTGGACACTGGGAATTTAACTACTATGAAAAGAATATATTTATGCCTTTGTAACATTCTTGGTATGTCAAATTCACCTTTGTCTTAAAAAGTTTCTATTTCTCTCTTTTGCTTATGTACATGCACTCATACACACACGTACGTTAGCACAGATTTGTCAAGCTGTAGTTTGTCAAATGGTAAACCTATAATTTAGCTTCTCTATTACTCATCTCATAAATTCAACATCTAATAGTTTTGTTGCTATTTATCAATGACCTGCTTGTTGTCATGGAACACTGATTCAGCTGTCAAGGTTATTTGGTAATCTGAGGCTCATAAAACAGGAGAAGCTCTTTTTGTTATGAGACCAAAGCCAATACATGTTTTTTCCCCCAATTTAATTGTACTGAAATTTTATGACTAATAAATCATTTTAGTACTATCTATAATGAGCAGATTTTTTATTATTATTATTTTTTTAGTCAATGACTCTGTTACCAAAAACAGTCTTGTGTCAGTTATCATAGTGTGAGCCAAGAGGTTAAAATCTAAGACATGTAAGACCTGGTTGCTTGTGTTGAAAAAAAGCCCATGATAAATCTTCATATGCATTTCATACCTAAATACTTTTTTGGGGGATTTACTGGGTCCTTTTCTTTCCTTTATTTCTGTTCAGAGTATATCTTCGATGGTGTGGGCAGACACAGGTAGTATACAGGCAGAACAGTGCATTGGCTCCCTACCACAAAGCAATGCCTCAGAAGAAAGAGAGAGGTTTTAAGCAGTCCTAAATAGCTTTTCCTACTGCTAAAAATTGTCATGCTCATCTTTTTGTAATTGGTTCATCTAAGTGACATGTTTGTCAAGCCTTTAACCCGACCTTTAACCACTTTGTAGCCAGCAAGGATTTTTTGTTGTTAATCTGTTGGCAAGACTTCCAGATCTCTGGGGATTTTTTTCTTTTTCACAGCAGCCTGCAGATTGGTAAAGCATGATAACAGAGCAAAGAATTGCTATAGTGGGTAAAACCAGGGGTGCGTTCAGCCTGACAACTGGTGTTTACTAAAGCTTGTAATGGATGCCATGTAAGATAGTAAGAACAGAACACACTGCATCTCATGCACACTCCTTAGCTTCAAGAGAGAAAATAAATGTTTTTGAATATCAAGGCACCTACACTTATTGTCTAATGCTATTTAAGGAGCCCACTCCTCATGTGAGTTTGTGCAAGAACAATTAATGGAACATTTTAGTTTGTGGAGCAAATAATTTTAAATTCTTAGCCTGAATTGCCTTTTGACTGTTTGCTTAACTATACTACAAAAGTAAGCGTTAAACTATTGAATT